GTCATAATTTTGCCACATATCGTTGGTTCAAAACTAAAACGACACTTCTGCACTATCTTCTCATGTTATTTGAATGAGAAGTGAGTGCAGAAGTGTCGTTTTAGTTTTGAACCAGCGATATGATTACATGGCGTCATGAATACATAGACCAAATATTCAAGAACGAATTCTTTTCAAAATGTAGCTATATTTTCTAAGGACCTGTCCATATTGGAGTAAAGCAACTTTGTTTTTTGTTAATCGATGTATATAATAGAGAAAAAATTTCTGTATATTTTTTCAATTAGGACTTTTTAAAATGTGGATATATGTGCCGATAGAAAAAAAAGTCTATAATTTCCTTCAGTTTCCATAACGCGATCAAAAACTTTTAGATTTGAAACTAAAAAATAATTTTGATTATTATAATGATTTTGTCTTGAAAAGACCTTCCTAACGGTATAGTAACCGGATTCAACAGGTTTATAAAATTGGTATTTTATGATTAGCATTATATTTAGGAGGCTACTGTGGACATGGGGGACAAGAGGAGACAACATGAATAGCTTCCCCCCCCCCTCAGTCATATTTCCTAGGTGAGATGCCGTAAATTGGTAATATTTACGTGCAGTGAACCAAAAACGTACCACCCTGAATAACTTTTGATTTAATGATCGGATCTTCACGTTCTAGGACTCCATCTTAATAATTCGAGGGTGTGACTTCAAATATGAAAATTGATTAATGCACGATATTTTATTTTAAGTTACGCAATCAGACACAAGAACATACTTTCCCTGAATAAACATAACTTTTGTTCAACAGATTCGATTTTCTAACCCCCGTAATATAGGAGGTAACTGTAATCTGGGAAATATGATCCCAATAGTTGGGTCGGATGAGCTATCCAAAGTTTGGACCCCCAAATGTTAAGGGAATTGAAAAAATTTTGCACATTATTATAAAATTCTTTTATCTAAAGATAATTCCATGTAAAAAATAACTTTTAGTAAATATTTATTATTTTTTATTTAATAATAGTCTAATGCTGTTGATCATTTACGTCGCACTAGTGCTACTTAGTGCTAGTGCTACTAGTGCTTTTTTTAGTACACATTAGGCTATTGGTGACGATCTGGGAAACATCCCTTGAGGTTTGATCCTCTGCAGAGGGGATGGCACCCCCGCTTCGGTAGCCCGGCGACCTCTACGCGAAGTCGAGCACTTAATGGTAGAACAGTTTAACGAGGACCAATACCGCACACCCTCGGTCCCTGGACAGACTGATCCAAGTGGTCACACACCCGCACACTGACAGCAGCCAGTGATGCTTGACTTCGGTGATCTGCTGGGAACCGTGTCTTAACGATCCGTCCACTACGGGACAATAATAGTCTGAAAACTTTTGAATCGTAAGGCAAATTTTTTTTTTTTGTATCATTTCAAAGTATCTAATTCCACATGGAAAATACAAAATTTGAGCGAAATTGGTTGATTAGTTCTTGAGAAATTGAGTTTTATAAGTACGACTTTTTTAAAATTTAATTTCTCAGGATTAATCGATTTCGCTGAAATTTTGTATTTTGCCATGTGGAAAACTTACAATGTTTTGTTATTCAATTTACATGCGAACAAATAATTTGTTTTCATAAACATATTCGCTAACATAATACATAAAGAGCTAAAATGACGATTAGAGATGGAGTACTGAAAGTTTTTGAAAGGGCCTGCGCCAAAAATTTTTGCCCCAGGGCCCCGAGGGGTGAAGTTACGGCACTGATTTACATCCACCAACCCCTTCAAGAATTCATAGTTCCACCACGATCCGTGACATTTTGAGGGGTCAGTTTTCAATCTGTAACATTTTATTTTATAACTTTCGTTGAATATCCAGCCCAATTTTGTGGGCTTATGACTACTAATGTTCAATTCCACAGCATTTTAATTTTAAACCCAATCCTGCATTGGCGATCTAAATGGCCTATAGGTGGCGTAGAGCAGAACTCTCTACCAACACATGGCAACACTTCACATGCTTTCCCCATTAGCGTGCGGAGAGTCATAGAGGAAGGAATACGTTAGTTTTTCGCTTGATTTTCTTATGGATTAACATCTTTTAAGTTGGAAAACTATGTGGAACTAAGAACTGCATTAAGCATAGTTGTAAAGAAAAATATTACGGAAATTTAAAAAACTATTTTTATGCAATAAAAAAGAAAATATTAAGAAAAGGGAAAATATCGTAGTACACTCCTATACAACTTAACAGAGGAGGAGAGGGAAGGGAGAAGGGCCAAAGCCATGAAACTGGTCTCTCCCCAGATGGCGTATTCGAGC